CGGACAAAAATACATCTGGCTCAGCCGGGATTTAGAGGGACGCGCGTGGGGTGTGTGTGGGGAGGCTGCGACCAGGTACATATATATATATATATATATATATATGTCTGGCATGTAGGTAGACGTGCGTTGTGTCCAGACGTGCCGATGTGTTTTTCCTTCCACTGAACGAGCGAAGAGAAGAAACAAAAACATCAGCAGCAGTGAAACGAACACAACAAAAAGAAGATAAAATAAAGGAAATACGAAGAGGAAATGCCCCCTACATTTAAAATTAGTTTTTATGCGGACTGGCCACTCGATGAACTGCAGTCCTCCTCATGCCCCTTTCATCAGACACCACAGCCATCCACGCTTTTTGTACGTATGTGCATGCAGAGGCGTGCGTGAATGTGCGCAAAGTCTCCTGATTGTCCTTCACGTCGCTTTCTCCCTGCCTCCTTCCTTTTTCTTTATTTCCTTCGTTTGAGTCTCACACTGGCGAGGGCAATGACGGGGGACAAAGTGTGAGCTCCATGAGTGGGCTGTGTTACAGCGGTGCGGAGAAGAAACGCCTCAGGCGGACGTGCGGGAGCATGTGCCCTTGCGTCTGGGTGGCGGGGGCGAGTTGCGGCGCTCCGGCATGGCATAGAGCGAGCTCCTTTCGAACGTGGAGACGGTGTACACAAAGGAGCGGGACGCTGCCGCGCAGCAGCGGCGCCGTCTGACATCGTTTTACCAGTAACACGCCCCGTTGGAGGCGGACAAAGTGTAGCCGCAGCCTGAGCACGGCTTGAGCGAGACGGCACTTTTTGACGTTCTCTACAAGAAGTACAAAATCCCCGCGGAGGCGCGGTTCTTCAGCACAGCAGCACAGAAACACTTCCGGAAGATTCTCGATGCATTTTTATTTTGACGGGCGCTGGTGCCGCAGTGACCTCCGTTGCGGCTTAGATGGCAATGAACGAGCCGTTGGAGCCGCTGCTCCTGCGCTGGATGTCGCTAGGGCTTGCGGAGGAGGAACTGCTGCAGCACTGCAGGCGGCTCGGAAACGACGACGAACCGCCGCTGACCTCGACGCCATCTCTGTTTCCGTCCCTGGCGTTGGCGGCGCCACTGACAGCGTACGAGGAAGAGCGGGGCGCCTCAGGGCATTTGACGAGGTGGCAGCAGATGCGAGGTTAAGTGAGGCGCAGCCCGACATGGAACTCTTTTCGCGCCACACTTGTTGGCTTTCAGGAAGTGGAGGACATACGGTGTGCTCTGGTCAGCTGCGTGACGCACTTCTTTATGACTTTGCATTTTCGTCTGGACGGAGCCGCGAGGCCGTCGGGGTTGCTGTTCAAACAGAGGCCAATAGGCTGCGCGCGACCTTCTTTGTGGCGTGCGATGACCCCGCCCGTGCATGGGAAGCGGACGATCTTGTTGCGGCCGCAGGGTCTTCTGCCGCACATCACCTGCTGTTGTTGCAGCGGGCGGGCGGGTTGAAGTCTCGGGTGCAGCGGGTATTGAGGTGCGCTGCCTATTTGAACATGTAACGGGCTCTGTCCTGTGGGGGGGGGGGGGGCACTCGCCACATGACGCAGCATTTTTGTGCCGGCACTTGGAGTGGATTTCTTAACGCACATCGCGGGCTTTGGCGCGTCGCACATGGCGTTGGGGAGCTCCACTTTAATGGACAGCGCCAAGACGTTGGAGTTGCAATGCTGGGTGTACTTTTTCACCTCTGCCTGGGCGGAGGTTTACGTGTAGTCGTTGCTGGAGGACGACGACGCTTGCGGAGTTACGTACTACCACCAGACGCGTTGAGCTTACGCCATGCTGGGCGGTGGTGCACCTGTGACGCGGTTGGATGGGAGTGACGTGGAGCAACGCGTGTCGCGTCTATGTTGTGTCATAGGTGCGTGCGCGGTTGGTCGGTGTCCGACGCCCTTATTATCGTTATTGTTTTGCTATCGACATTGCTGTAGGAGGTGGGGGCGGAAATAGAGAAAGAGAGGAAGCGAGGGATGGAGAGAGCACTTGCATGGGGGTGAGAGTGAGCCACTTGTTTTTTTTTTTCTTTTGTCCCTGTGGGTCTTGAGTTGAGTGAGGTGTATTCATCGGCCGCTCTGTCCGCGGCACCAGTTGCTGGCGTGGCAGGTAGCACGATGCGGATGTGCCTCTTCTCCTCGACGCATCCCTTCCGCATACACACACGCATATGCCTTTTTCTCTCTCTTGCTCTCTCTCGATCTTTCTTTCTCTCTCTGTGTGTGTACGCGCCCTCGTGCTTGCTGGGGGAGTCATGCAGGCGCCGTTGTACGTGAACGGCCGCGCCGGGCTGTTGTCCCCCGCCGGCATCCGGACGTACCGAAAGATGGGGGTGGTGGTGGCGCGGGGGCTACTCCCGGACAGCCTCGTCGCCACACTCGCACGTGCTTGTCGCGACGTTGCAGAGGCGCGTGGGGCCCGCGTGTTCCCCGGCATCGACGAGGAACATAACGGCCGCATCGACTTTGACGCCCGGATGGAGCCAAAACCGACGGCCAACTTGGGTGCCCAAACGCCTCCGCCGGAAATACAAGAGCGGCTGCGGCAGCATGATGAGGCACGGGCGTTGGAGCGGCGATACCGCAAAGTACTGCTGAAGTGCCGCAACACGCGCGAGGTGGATCGCGTGTATGCGAAGCTGGCGGCGGTGCGTGCGAAGTACATGAGGTTCAAATACGTGAAGAACTGCGTGCCCGAGGAGGAGGAGGAGCGTGGCGGGCGGATGAGTGACAAACGCATCCAGGAGCTGGGCAGCAAGCACACCTACGAGGACGTGAAGGAGAGTTTTGAGAGGTACCGGGGCAGCGGGAAGATGGAGATGGAGGTGCGGCGCGAGTATCACCTCGACCGGGCGCTGGAGCACCTGCAGAATTGGTCCAAGTGTTGGTGCCGCGTGTGGCCGGATTCGCCAGAGCTTCAGCGGCTGCTGCTGCTGCCGGAGGGCGGGGCGTTGGGCACCGCCATTGGCGAGGCCGCGGCGGCGTTGGCGGGGGAAATTGTCATTCGCCTCTTCGATGACGCTGTGCACGACTACCACCCGTTTTTGAACAGCACGCCATTTCACTTCGTCGGCAGCTCAACAAACTTCCGAAGCCTCAGCAGCATGACAGTGTCTGTGGGGCTGGCCGCAGGGCGGGCGCCGGTGCTGGTCATCCCCGGCTCTCACCACGTCATGCAGGAGTTCACCGATGACGGCCGTGACTTTAGTCGCTACCGCGCCGGCGGAGTGTTTGACATGGGGCGAGCGATACGCAACATTGCGCCACTGCGGGAATTACCGGTTGTGCAGCTGGAGCCACTTGAGCCCGGCAGCGTCATCTTTACAAACCACTACACAGTAAGCGCGGTGCAGCCAACGTTGTGCGGCGGGGCGGCGAATTACATCCCGCCGTCAGCTCGCACCGTCAACTGCCCTTATCAATACTCCATGACCCTCATGCCGGACCGTTGCGTCTTTGATGGTTTGCGGAACTCGTGGGCGTCGCGGGATTCACACGGGCCATTGCACAGCTATAAGCCCGGGCAGCCACTTGTTGATGATGTTGTTTTTCCTGTCATTCACAGGGCGCTTGACGTGGAGTAAGTCGAGGAAACGAGCTGGAATGAGCGCAGCGGAAGAAGAAGAAAAGAAGAAGCGGTGCATCAGCGTGATCGGAAAGGGTAGTAATGGTGAATAAAGGAAGCGGCTGAGTTGCTGCCTTTGAATACGTGCACGTCTTGCCGCTGGCCTTTTTTTCGTTTCTTTTCCCCAGCGACTTTTCTGATAAACCCGTGAGCAGGGGACCGCACCTACAGGCATAAAGTGGCTGATTGCGTGCGTTGAAGGTGCAGGAGGAGGGTGACAAGGGCGCAATGAGCGTGGAGGCCTTGGCGTGTGTCCAGAGCGCCCTGCTGCTCGAACAGCAGGGGAGGTTGCGGGAGGCGGAGGAGTGGCTCACGCTGGCGATTTACAGGCTCCGCAGGTTGCTGGATGACAAATCTCTGGGCAACTCGCAGCTGCAGGTGCTCACGGACCACCTGCAAGGCGCTGCGCGCCACCTCCAGCGGCTTCGTGGCGTGGCGAGTGCCGAAGAGGAACGGCAACGGGGTCACCAGCAGAAACACCCGCAGCCGAAGCCGCAAAATTTGGGACAACAAACACCACCCCCGCCAGCAAAGCAGCAGGAAGGCCCCAAGGTGGCTTTCGCTGCCCGCCCACCACCCGCTCCTGCGCACGCAGCTATGCCAATACCGCAGCAACTTCAACATGAACAGCCGCAGCTGCAGCGACAGGACCACTCCTTGGTGACGTTTTCCCCTCCGCGTGCTTCTGACATCGTTAAAAAGGCCATAGACATCGCCACCAATTTGCTGCAGCAGCAAAAGTACAAACAGTCGGTGGATCTCCTGCAGCATGCGTATGATGTGGGGAATAAGGAGTACAACAAGCCCGGGAACTTTCACCGGATTGAGGAACATCTTGTTCTTTTGCGGCGCAAGTATTACGACCATTTTAAACCGCGATTCCTGCAGGATAACCCAATGCTTCCCGCGGAGATGGAGGTTTTGCGGCGCTCGGGATTCACCGAGACGATTCGGCTGCCGATGTGGGACGATGTGCAGGAGGGCTACGCCAGAGAAAATATCTTTATGCCTTGCGAAGGCCACTGGGAGGACCCCTTCACGCCGCGCCTCGCGGCATCGCAGCGGGCGGAAGGGGCACAGTATCTCCGAATAGGCGAAATTAAACCCAATATGGATCTTTGCATTATTCGACGTGCTGATCCACTGAATGTGAAGCAAACAGTGGTGGGGGACTGCTCGATGGTGTGCAGCCTCATTATCTGCGCCGCCTACCAGCAGCGATTCCCCAAGGGGAAGATCATCAGCAACGTGATTTACCCACAGGACAACAACGGCGACCCCATTCTTAATCCCAAAGGAAAATACTGTGTGAAGATGCTCATCAACGGCATTACCCGCCTTATTACCGTCGACGACCGTTTTCCCGCGGCCCCGCGCACTGGGCGGCTGCTCTGCACCTACAGCAAGGACGAAACGGAGTTGTGGGTGTCTATCATGGAGAAGGCGTTTGTGAAGCTTTGCGGCGGGAGCTACGAATTCCCGGGGAGCAGCAGCAGCAGCGATCTCTACAAGCTTTCTGGGTGGCTTCCGGACAGCGTTGCACTGACCTCCAAGGACTTTGACCCTGAGCTTCAGTGGAGGAGACTCTACAAGCGACACGAAGACGGCTCTCTTCTTATGACGGTGAGTACGGCGGCAATGCCAGAGGCCGAGGAGCGGAGTTTGAAACTCGCCTCCTCCCACGCATACGCTGTACTGACGCTGCGCGAAGTGAACGGGGAGCGCCTTCTGCAGCTTAAAAACCCATGGGGGCGTGAGTCCTGGTCGGGAACGTACTCGCGTAGCGACAGACGAGCGGCGGCGAGGACGCTCTTTGCGAAGTTACAATACACGGAGGTGTTGGCGGAACAAGGCGTGTTTTGGATCACATGGAACGACCTCTGCACCCATTTTTCGCGCTGCTCCCTCAGCTGGAACCCCTACATGCTGTACAAGACGCCAGAGGGCATGTCGCGACGGCCAACGCGGCTCTCATGCCATAGACGCTTCCCATACACAATGAGCACGGGACAGATGCCACAGTTTCACATTGGCGTGATCAACGCACCGAGGTCGTCCCGCATGCACCTTGTCTTTGCGCGTCATGTTAAGAACGTGGGGGAGTTTGGGTTACAGTTTGTGGAAGATAGCCCAAAAGTGCCGTACGTGGCAGTGAAGGTCTATGATGTGACGCAGTTTCCCTCCATCGCACAACAACTGGGCGCCGCTTGCAGTTTTGAGATGTGTTACTGTCGTCGTTTGGCGCATGGAACTGAGTTGGACGCGGGGTTTGCACCGCTGCACGATGTTTTATACAAGAACATGTCAGAGCATACACTGAGTTTTAATTGCCCCGCAGGAACGAGCAACCTGCTCGTCGTGGTTAGCCGGACGGCGTCCACATGGAAGGAGGAGTTTAGTTTTTCGCTCACACTGCACACAGAGTGGCCGCAGGTAAAGTTGAATGAGGCGTCCCCGTCCCTCTCCGGGGTCTACATGCACTTTATTCCACAGACAAATCTCAAGCACTGCACCGTCCAGCAAGGGCGATGGGAGAAGGGTGTGAGTTGTGGCGGCAGGACCGGATTGCAGACGTTTGCGTACAACCCACAGTACCTTTTAACGTTGTCTAGCCCATCCATGGTTTCCGCGCGGCTGCATGTTCCGGACCAGGACGTGTCGGCCCAGCTGCACATTGTGCGAAAGGAGCAAAATCCAGCGCACGTGGTGGTAAAGTGGTCGCCGCGGATTGGCGCCATCAATGAGGAGTGTAGTCTTGTCTTGCATGCCCCTTTGTACGCCCACGGAGGTGTCGTAGTGGACACAAGCCTCTGGCGGTGCGTTTTTCTCGACCGCAATCGGCTCCTTGGCGAGAAACCGAATGAGAAGATGGCAGCGGCTGCGATGCCGTTGCCTTTGCCTGAGGGTGAATACACCGTTGTGCCAACGCTGTGGGACAAGGGCGTGCCTGCAGCCTTTGAACTCGTCGTGGAAACGACTGAGCCGCATGCGTTGCGCGAGATTTCTCCGGAGGGTGTCGGTTTTGTAGAGACGATGCTGCACGGGCGATTGATGGGCGGGGTCGCAGCGGAGGTGCCCACAGTGCTGCAGCGAACCGATGCATACTTTTGTAGTAACGGCAAGGTGTGCCTCGTGGCCGCCGTTCCGTGCGTGCTGACAGGGCGGCTGTTGCTGCTGCTTAGTGACGACGCGAAGAATGACGTATACACCGGCCTGGCCCTTTTCCGCCAGAGGGATGCCGCCACGATGGAGCGAGTCGCGTCGTCCGGCTCGTACGATCTCTACGGAGTGGCGCTGCCGCCCGTCAAGCTGGAGGCAAACGTGACGTACCTCCTGGTGGTGTCTTCCGCCAAACCCTCCCACGCAAAGTATGCCCTGCGGTTGTACTCCAGCACACCCATCAAGGCCTGGATGCAGTGAGTGTTTGCGTGTTTCCCCCTTATTTGGTGCCCCGTAAATGACTTTCGTTTCTGCTTGTTGTTGTTGCTCTGCTCCTCGTGGCGCGTTTTTTTTTGTGTGTTTGTGTGTGCCTGTTTTTGTATTATTATTATTTTTATTTGTTGTGCCACCTGCTTCATTTTGTCTTCACTTTTCTCCCCGCTGACTAGCCGCCACTTGTGCTGCTGTGATTGGTTGAGTGCAGGTTGGTGGGGTGGCTCGCTTGCCTGCGTGCGTTTCTGTGGAGGGGCTCTCCGGTGTGCGCCTGGGTGTTTATGTTTGTTCCCGTTGGACGGCTGCGCATGCATGTGGGGCGAACTTCGCCCGCATCTACCAAGCACGCCGGACATGGCACAGCCAGCAGTTGGCTTCGCAGCCACGCACGCCACGGCTCCAAGCGCTGGGAGCGGCCGAGTCTCACCTCGTCGCGGGCCGCGGCGGAAACGATTTCGGGGGGTGCTAGTCGTTGGTTGCGCCAGCTGCTGCTAGGTGGCAATCGGCCTTTACGCGGACGCGCTGGCGGCACATTCGATAGGACGGCGTGGTGAGGTGGCGCTGCGTGAGCGGCACACTTCCATTGCATGCATCCTGACTGCGCTTACGCAATCTACGGCGGCCGGCGCCCCGCACGAACTGGTGGCACAGCGTATGGCGGGGGCGTGTGAGGCGGTCCTTCGGGTGATGCTTGCTGTGGGGGGGGTGGGGGGGGGGTTGAGAAGGCGCTCCGCTGCTCCAGGCGTTGGGCACGCGTGAGCTGTTCGCCAATAGTGGAGATCCGAGTCATCCGCACGCTCCTTCTGGAAACTGCGGATGGTGAAGGGAAGGAGGAGGACACTGCTGAGCAAGAGGGTGACGGTTACTAAAGTGCGGCGTCTCGGACGTCTCTGCTGCGGTGTGGGTTTCTGCCGTGCATTGGGGCGGTAAAGAAAATGCCGGCACTTGTGGCGCTGCTTTCGCTACGGGCCGAGGGGCTACCAAACCATTGCGTGGCTCGGTGGTACGTGGATGCTGCGGTGTACATGCGTGTCAGCCCGTGGACGGTGTGATTCTCGCAGGTGCTGCCAACGGGCGCCGCGTCGGAGCCGTTTTATCGCGAGATGCTTGAGTACTCTTGTTCCCACTGCCAGCTGCCGTTGCCTGCCGCGGCATTGAACGCGATACCCAGGAGTGTTTTGCACGATGCCCTCGCAGCTGCGATACGTTGTTGCCAAGAAGAGTTGGGGGAGCTGGAGCGGAGGCGCCTTCAGGATGCCGTCTCCGCTGCTATCGTTGCCTCCCCCTTGCTGCGCACGGAGGCCATTATGTGTCCGGACCTTTTTTCTCGGAAGTTCTGCGGCAGCGTCATTCCGCAGGAGGAGGTGTGGTGGTGGTGCACACATCTGTGGCGTTGTCTGTCGGACTCCGTGGAGGCTGCCACAACCTGGCTGGCGGTGTGCCAGCGAATTGGGGTGAGCGATTTTGATGATGCATCGACTGCCTTCTACCGCAAACATTTTCCCGCTGTTGGTTGTGCAGGCGTCGCAGTCAGGCAAGGTGGTGAAGGCATTGTTTGCAGCTTTGCAGCAAGGTGCTACCAATCCGCCGGTGGCAGACGACCTCTCACACACCAGTGCGCGGAGTCTGCTGTTGTTGTGTGCGGACGACAGCAGCGCTCCTGTCGTTCAGTGGACCCTGTGTTACTGCAAGGACCGCGAGTATTTGGTTCAGTTAGTTTTAGACCACCTCGAGAGCCACCGCGATGTAGCCGCGTAGGTGCTGCAGGTTATGTTGCATCCCGAGCACGCTGACATGTTTGATTTGTTTTCGGCACAGCTGTCGGAAAGGAGCAACACATGGCTGTCGCGCCTCGCATCCCTTGCACCGCGTAACAGGCAGTGGGTTGTGGCGCTGAGGTGCCTCCACGGTATGGGGCCCCCCTCCATTGCTCACCTGCATGTCGCCTTTTTGGCCCTGGCAGCGCCATGCACTACGCCCCTCTCCGTCGGCATGGATTTTGTGTGGGCCGACGACACTCTCCTGTCGCTGCAGGCTGAGGTGAACCCATCGCCGCGTCAGATTGACGCGGCAAAGTGGGAGGCAGCCCTGCGTTTCTTGTCTATTGGCGCCGAGCACATGAGTCATCGCCCGGACTTGCTGCGGTGCTACGCAAGTGTTGTTTCCCGCGCCGCGACAGCCACTCGGCAAGCCTACGCCTCAGTTGAGGATCTTATTGCGCGGCTGACGACAGACCGAGCCTCAGTCGCGGTAACTTCCGTAAGGGAGCAGCTGGCCGCCCTTGTGAGGCGCAAACTGTCGGTGGAGGCGTCACGGGTGGTGGCGACAGAACGCAAGCCAACGTGGGTGCCGTTCCTCATTCGTGCCGCTTGCAACGCAGGACACGGGCGGGCTGCGCTTTGCACTGTCGAGAAGGCGGTGCCTGAGCGGATGCCTCTTCACTCTGCGTCCATAGCGGAACTTTTGGCGTGCTGCCCCTCCGCTGATCTTCCGCTTGAGGCGATTCAATTGTGGCTTTGTGCACGGGCATGGGGAACCACAGCACCCGCGCTCATTGGATTTGGGAAAGGCATGCCCGCGGCCACCAACGGACGCCTGAGTAAAACACGCACGGAGCTGCTCTTCGTCTTGCTGGATTCTTCCCGCTCTGTGGATCGGCAGTGGCACTACGCGCTGCAGCTGTTGACAAGTCAAGTGCTGCAGCGTAACGCCCCCCCCCGTCCTCACGCCTCTTTTACACGACGTATTCAATACTTCGGAGGGCGGGCAGGTGGCAGGAGTCACTGCGATTGCGATAATTTCAGCAGCTGCTGGGGGTGCCTGCGACCGTGAAGATGGCTGGGCTGGTAGCGGATGCGTTGCCGCCCAGCGAGTGGGAAACGGCGCTCACATGTCTGCAAGGGTACCTGCGCGGGGATGCAGGCCTCCTCTGCTACCTTGTTCCAAAGGTTCTGCCTGTCAACTGGGAATGCGCTCTACGGCTCATATCCACCGAGAGTAGTGCGACAAACACGGTGTTGGAGTGCGTCGTGGTGTGTGAGCACGTGCCACTGAAGCTGCGGTTGGGGGCGTGGTTGCGACTCCTGCCATCGTTGCCGGTGTCAATGAGGCATCGGGCAGCCCCTGTATATCTCCATCTTTCCCTTGCCGTCTCCGAGCACGGGCGATGCCTCCTGGCCTGTGTGGATGGGCTCAGTGTGCTTGAGCGTTCCATCCGGGGACTACGACACAACTTTCTAAACTACGCCGCCTTTGTTTATCACCGCGCCGTCGTGCATCACTGGTGTCACACGTCGCGTGACCCGGCGGTTGGTGTGAGTGCATTTTGTGCTCTCAGTAGCATTGCAGGGCGGGACGTACAATGTGAGGTAAGCGTGGCGGCGCTGGAGCAGCTAAGTGACCTTGTCGGGCGTCAGCCGCACGCAGCGTAATAATTGGGTGTCGGGGTTTACTCTCGTTGTGTGTGTGTGTGTATAGGTGTTTGTCGTTTTTATTGTTTGTTTGATTGGTTGGTTGGCACTCTTGCGTCGTCACAAAAATGTCGGCACAGCCACCGCATGGGTTGCAGTAAAAAGACTCTTCTTTAAATGCAGAGGAAGGTGTGGTGGTGTTGCTGCCGCCAGCTGTGCTGTCCGTGTCACGCCAAGGGGCGCAGCGTGGCAACTGCAGTGTGTGTGTTTTTTTTTTTGTGGCTTGTCGCAGTGTAGGAAGTCGCCGGCGTAGATCATTATGCGTGTTCGAACCGTCCGTTGGCTGCTGGTCGCACCAGTGACGGCGACGGTGTTCTTCACGCGTGCCTTCTCTGAAGCGAGGTCGAACTACGATGGCACCGCCGCCCCGCCGTGGGCAGCGCCGGGCGAGGCGCCAAAGTACCCCTCCGCCCTCTCTGAGTTTCCGCTGCCAAAACCACGCATGCGGAAGACGCACACCGAGTGGATGTTCTTTCACGGCCACGGGGGGCGCCCCGGCATGTACGGCCCTACGCGCGAGATCGCCGACTTCGAGTTTGCCGACGGCACACCCGCCAGCATCAGCGGCCGTCGCTTTGCGTTTAAGCACCACCAGGACCACCTGCTCGTGCAGCTCATTCGTGCCGGGGCGGTGGTGGAGCGACAGGCGGCGCAGGGACTTTTGCCGCGTGTTCCCGGTACGCCAGAGCAGCGCAACTGGGACCCCGCTATCCCCCTATTCCTCGAGGACGTTGACGAGCAGGGCAGGCCGCCGCCCACACGCTCCGTCTGCTCGCGCGTGGTGGACGAGCGGATGGGGAGCCCCACGCGGGCCCCGAATGCGACAGCAAACCGCCAGGAGGGAGATACACTGGAAGCGAACACGATGTTTGAGTCCTACGACCCTCAGGCGTTTGTCTCGGACCACGTGAAGATGTGGGATGAAAGGCGGCCGTACTGGTCCAGGCGTCGCTGGGCGTTGACCGACAAGTTTTTGGTGCCCAAAAGCCCCAAGCCGAAGAACACCATCAAGGACGAGTAGTGGTCGCGGACCCCGTGCGTGCGCGCGGGTTGGTGATGCAAGGGGAAAGCAAGCAGTTGCGGCCACAAGAGCCAAGGCCGAAGAAGACGGAGAAACAAGCAACACGAAAGGAATAAAAAAAAAGAAAAAAACTTGGACCTCCCGCCTCCTACCCTCATCTGCACGCTGTTTTTAGACCTCTTCTCTATCTCTCGGCTGTTGTTTTTCTTCTGGCTGCGTGCGGGACAATACCTCTTTGAGCCCTCTTCTCCCGCGGGGCGTGCGACCTCGTGTGTTTTGTGCGTGCCTCCGTTTTTCTCCCAAATCCTTTTTACGTGCCATCTCAACGAATTCTTTTTTTTTATTTTGCCTTTTTTTTTGTTTTGTCTCTTTTAGTTTATTGGCGGGCATACATTGTGGCGTAGGCTTGCGTTAAATGGCTCTGGCGCCACGTGACGTAGCGGTCAGGTCAATCGTAGTAGCTGTGCGCAAGCGGCCCAAGTTGGTGTCCAAGGAGGCGGATGAAAACGATGTGGTGCGCTGCGAGGCCGCCACCACTGTGGTCGTCTACGAGCCCAAAACAAAGGTGGACTTGACCCCCGTCATTGAGCCCTCTATCTACAGCTTCGACCACGTTTTTGACGAGACGGCGGGAAACGCGGAAGTCTACGAGACGTGCTGCCGCCCGCTGCTGCAGGATGTAAAGGACGGCGGGGGCGCCGTCGTGTTTGCGTTTGGGCAGACAGGTAGTGGCAAGACGTACACAATGCTTGGCCGTGTTGGGGAGTGCCAGGGGCTTTACGGCTTTATTGTGCGGGAGCTCCTTGCAACCGACGCGTCGTGCACGCTCTCCGCTAGTTTTTACGAAGTGTACGGCGTGAAACTCTTTGACCTCCTCAACGGGCGCGCGGAGGTGAAAATGCTGCAGGACGAGTTCTGCAATCTTCACATTGTCGGCCTCTCGGAACGAGACATCGCGGGCGAGCGCGAGCTGAGCGAGCTGATGTCAGAGGGCCAGTTGCTGCGGGCGAGCGGGACGACGCACGCGAACGACCGAAGCTCGCGCTCCCACGCAGTGCTGGAGATCAAAGTTCGTTTGCCGCATCGCGAGGGCATCACCTCCTGCGGGAGGATGACGCTCGTGGATTTAGCCGGCAGTGAGCGGGCTGCGGATACGGCTGACACCGACATCAAAATGCGGCGGGAGGGGGCGGAGATTAACAAGTCCCTCTTGGCCCTGAAGGAATGCATTCGCGCCATGTCGATGCGCAAGCGGCATATCCCATTCCGCGCCTCGAAGTTGACACAGATATTGCGCGAGAGTTTTGTTGGTCGAAGCAAAACGTGCGTGATTGCCAACATTTCCCCGTGCCAGCGACACTGCGAGGACACGCTAAACACGCTGCGCTACGCCCACCGCATCAAGGAGCTGAAGGGACCGACAAACGGGGGCTTGGAACACACGGCCCCCAGGCCCTGTCAGAATTGTGGTCTCCCCATCTTTGCAGGAGACAAACATGTGTGTGCGCGCACGAACGTGGAGTGCCCGCACTGCCGACAGGAGATGGCAAAACAGGAGCTTGAGGCGCACCTTGCAGAATGCAAGCAGTTCCCCATGCGATGCCCGCACTGTAACGAACGATTATTGCGTGCAGAGCTGCCGCGCCACAATCGTCGCTGCGCCAGGCTTCCTGTTCGTTGCCCTCTTTGCTCCTCCCACGTTATTCGCTGCGGGCTGGAAAAACACACGCTGACGGAATGTGGTGCCCGCAAAGAGAAGTGTCGCTATTGTGGGGTACGATTCCCCCGCCACACAGTGATGTCCCATGAACATGAATGTGATATGAGGAGGGTTGCGTGCGTTTTCTGCCTTCGGTACATCAGAAAGGCGCGGCAGGAGGCGCATATGGCGGATTGCCCCAAAAATCCAAATCGCAGGGGCGGCCCATCGCCGCGGTGCCCGGACTCGTCGGTGTCTACGGCTGCCTCCACCGATGTAGGGTATCGCGGGGCGCAGGGGCACCAGCAGCAGCAGCAGCAGCAGCAGCAGCGACGCCTGGGTGCCGGAAAAGAGGTCCAACATTCAGGGCCAGGAAGACGCCTCCACGCGGTCACCGACAGCGACGCTGAGACGTCTTCGTCACCGGCCCCCTCCGGCTTGCGGGAGGGCGTGGAGTGTGAGTGCCCCTACGCCCGCTACGGCTGCACGCAGAAGGTAGCTAGAATTAAACTAACGGACCATCTTACGCAGGCGATGGCCAAACACCTGCGCTTAGTGTCCAACTATGCGGACCAAATGGACGTAGAGAACGCAGCCTTACGACGTTTTGTGATCACCAATAGTAAGTGCCCTAATCCGCATTGATTTCCCTTGGCGCACTCTTGTTTTTAATATTATTTTATTGTTATTTTGCCCTTTCCGTCTCCTCTTGCTTATGATGGCCACCTGTTAGTTTCTCTCTCAACGAATCCCCAGTGTGGAGCTTTTGCTTTGTGCTGTACGACATGCAAGGCTTCCTTTCCATCTGGCCTTGCTGCCGGCTTTGCTCCGTGGTGGCGCAGGAAATTTTTCCGGCCTCTGCTCTCCCCCATCGCGCTTATTCCTCATCTTTTGTTTTCTTTTTTCTCTCTCTGTTTCTATGTGTGTATGTGTATGTTTGTCTGCGGTGGGGGGATAGAGGGAGGTGAAGAGGGGGGCGGGGCATGGCTGGCGATGGAATACATAGTCTTTCTGCATTCCTGACTTTGTATTTATCATATTTTTTTTTTGGTTTTGTTTTTGTTTTTGCGTCTCTTTCACTTTTTGCCCTTTTGGGGTGTCTTCTGGCGGGCAGGGTGCTGTAGGCTCCTGCTGCTGTGACGCATAACTTGTGGCCCGCGCATTCGTTTTGTTGTGCATGCGCGTTTGTTCTCCTCCTCCCCTGACGCGCAGGGGCCGCTTCTTATTTCATGCATGCCGCTGCAGCCTTCTATTATTATTTTTTTATTATTTTTTCTCTTAGCATGGAGCAGCCCATGCCGTCAGGGGTGGAGCGGTTCCGTGAGCGGAATGCGAAGCTTCGGGAGGAGAACGCGGAGCTGAGGGTGCGGCTGAGCCAGGAGCGGCCGCACAGCGCCACCGATGGCATAGGCAAGGGGTCCAGGGAGCTGGAGGTTGACCTCTGCCGTGAGCTCATTCAGGAGAAGGACGGAAAGGCGACAATATTAGAGCTTCACGACGAACTTACCCGGGTTAAGCGCCAGTGTGCCGTTTACGCCGACGCCCTTGAGGAGACCCGCGGCAATTTTGTGGAGATGAAGCGATTGTATGATGAACTCAATCATCTCCTCGATCAGTGCAACCAGGCGGAGCCCCCATGAGAAAAGAGGTTGGACGAAAGACACACCGCGTGTGCCAGCTTCATGTAAATCAATTCCTTAACTGACTTGTTTATACACTTGCATCTTGAACCTAGTCATCTTGAGTGCGACGGTGTGGGAGGAGGAGGAAGAACGCATTTCGACACCCTTCACCTTCCAGACTGTTTCTGCCTCGGTGGACGCATGCGCATACACCACTGATATGCACAGACACAGACACAGAGACTTATATTGTACACCCTGCCGGCGTTGGCACAACCGTATCTGCAAATACAGACGGTTGAACGCATTCGTCCTTTTATTTGTTTGTGTGCAGGGTTTGGGGCCTTTGCTAAAGACGGTTAGCGACGTGTACATTCTCATTACGTGGGCCTCTCACCGTTTTTTACCTTTTTGTTGCTTGCTTTCTCTCTCTCTTTTTCCATCGCTGCTAACGTCTGCTTCCGCCTGGTTACACAAAAACGATACGGTGAAGCGGAATAACACACACACACACACAGAATATATATATAATAGACAAAGGGCGGGACATACAGCTCTTGCACCGACTGAGCTTCGTTACAGCGCTTCCACCGTAGTCTGCGGAAGCCAAACCATGAGGCCGGATTACATGGGCGTTATGTTTTTAACGAGTGCCGTGGTGTCGTTCAACGCTGGTATATGGCAAATCTTCCGGCGCGCGAAGAAGAAGCAGCTGATTGAGAGTCACAAGAATCTCTTGAAGCCCGCCGTGCAGGAACTCCCACCAAATGACATGGCTGTTGAGCAGTTTGAGTTCCTTCCTGTTAAGTTGGATGGGGTACTCGACAACGAGGGCTCCGTGCTGGTGGGCCCCCGTGCTCTCCCGTCATACAAGGGGACAGTCAGTAACGACGAGAGCAAGGGCGGGTTTCTTGTTGTGACGCCCTTTGAAATTGCTGGGACGAAGCAGTTCGTCATGGTGAACCGTGGCTGGGTTCCGATTGACGCGGGGAAGCATCGCACACTTCTGATGCAGTATATCGGCGAGGGATTTGCCACGGCGACTGTGCGTGGGATCTTCCGCCGTGAGGAGTTTCTTTCGGGGTCGTTCTTCTCGGGGAAAAACGCGTTGAACGAGGGCCCCCTCGCCGCCGATCTCTCATGGATGGCGCTGCGACCGTTGAACATGGCGTTAGACTACTACAAGCGGCGCTGGGGAGCCTCCAACGTCGAGGCGAGCGTCTCCCAGCACGGCCTCCACCACTACTACGTGGAGATGCTCGAGGACTACTCCGGTGATGACCAGCGGATCGTGCGGGGACACGCGTGGCCGTGGCGCCGGAGCACGGACGAGGTGACGTACGTGCACCTGTTGCCCGTGGTGCACACCATGTACGTCTTCTTTTGGTTCTCCGTCACCATTGGTTCGCTCTACGGCATGGGCCGGTGCTACCAGCGCCAGAAGGAGCTCTTCGCCATACGCAGACGTATGACCGCGCAGTCCATGCTGCTCGAAAAGAAACGTCAGGAAGAGGCGCAGGCGTACCTGCAGGCGGTGCAGGAAGTGGAGCGGATGAAGCACGTAGGGGCGGCGGTCGCCACGGCACAGCTAGGAGCACAACAACCCGGCAGCAAAGAAACGGGGACAAAACCATGAAGTGTAACGCGGTGAGGATTAGTATATAAATGCGTATCTTTTGATATATATATATATTTTTTGGGTTTCTCTCCCGTATTTCTTTGCTGGGGGCAGGGGCTGAAGGTGGTGTGCAAGGGGAAGTTGTGGTGGGAGCACCGCGTGTTGTGGCGACGCACAGCAAAGGGAGACTGCGGGCACACTTTGCAGACCTTACAGGTAATCTTCCCGCGGCCCGTTGTTTTTAACCCGAAAAACAAAAAAAACAAAATGAAGAGACATGCGTGTGAAACTGAAAGAAAGAAAAAGAAAGAAAGAGACGAATTGAAAGTGGCAAGAACAAAGAAGACAACGAAGAAAAGTCTTCGTCTTTTGTTGTCCGTTCTGAGGCTGTTGGTGTCGCTGTTATTTTCACCATCCCCCACCTCCTCTCTTCGCTGCTGATCCTCAGCAATAAGGGGCCCACACATGCAACACACGCCGCTAGACATCTTCTTGTCGGTGTGGCAGCACATCAGCAGCCCGGCGGAGCTGCCGATGCTGCTGTTGTGCGTCACCGATCAGGAGTCCCGCCACAGGGATACCGTGTTGAGCAACGAGGATGTGCAGCGCGTTTGTGGGGCGATCCGCCGCAAGAATATGGAGTGGGACTTGATGCGTGGTCTCTTTGCCCTGCAGCAGGGCACGGCCGGCGTGCCGGTGCGGGTGGTGGACCTGATGGTCATTCTTCTTTGTTGGGAGGCAACGACAATGCAGTCTGCGCGATGGTTCCTCGATGTGTGCGCCCGGCATGTGCGGAGGCTGCTGGAGCGTCAGCTTGGCGCGGATGCAGCGGGAGGCGAACGCATCACGGAAACCGTCGTCACTGCTGCGTTGCTGTTGTTTGGCTGCAGCGATGGGCTGCTGTACGAGATGGACGCGTTCTTGGGGGAGGCGTCCGTTCGGTGCAGGGACATCAGCGCGGCGCTGGCGTGCCTGCGGGAAATTGCCGATCGGCTGTCGGCTGCGACGGAGGCGGAAGATGTGGTGGATTGCATGGCGCCAGCCACGCCCACTCCGCCGCCATCGCCGTCCACCGTGGCTGAGGCACGGGGGGCAAGTCCCACGTCCGACAATACGGAGGAGCGTCCGCGGAAGCAACGGAGGTGGCGTGCCTGCGCTGTGCTCTAGTCGCACCCACCACACTCCCTGCCGTTGCTGCGGCTGACATCACGCATTTGTTTCACTTTTTGTTCCGTGTTGTTTTGCCTTCGCCTGTGCGTCTGTGTCTGTGTGTGTGCATGTTTCTTCCGCATACCGGCAATTATTTTTTTTTGTGTGTGTTTTTGCCTTCCTGGCTACAGGGGAAAACAAAAAGGGGAACGTCGTGGGCAGGGTGGTGGTGGTGGCGTCTGCATCCGTATAGTCGAAGGCAAAACACCACATAGGTGGCGAGTACCGACGCACAGTAGAAGAAGGGCCGATGCGTAGATTGGTGCATGCGGTAAGCGTTGGGGGCCGCCTACGGCGGGCTTTCGGTTTCCCAGCGCTTCTCAATACGCAGACGGCGCTGCAGAATGCGGCACCACTGACTGACGACGCCGAGGCCTTTGCCGAGTTCTTTCGCGTGCCCATCTTGCTGGATGCCGGCGTGGCGGAAAGTGTGCGGCAGCACTATGAGCAAGCTGTGAAGGGTATGGAAACCCAGCAGGACAGCCACGCAGTGCGGGTGCAGGAGGAGGAGCAGCGCCGCGGCGAGGAGCTTCCCGTCTTTCTGGTGTCGTACGACTTACGTTCCCACCTTTTTCATTTCTTTTCTATTGAACGCGACCGCGTCGTCGTCGTGGGGTCACCACTCTCCGAAGTCGCAGAGCTGCGTGACTGCGACGGTGCGAAACACATTTCCAGCGGAGGCATCGATTTGTCCCCAGTGGCGGACGAGCTCATGCGGCACACACACGGCGTCACGCAGATGATTTTGCTCCCGCTTGTGGCGCACAAGAAGGAGCGGGATGTGCTTGCGTTGCACTTTCAGCGACTGCTTGCGGCGCTGCGGCAAAGCGGCCTCATCCCTGTGCTGCACGTGGACAACCTGGAGCTGGCCGAGGCGCTGGATCCTGACCCGCCTCCCCTGCGGGAGGTGGTGGCCAATTACGCCGTGGCCACCCCCAAGCCGCTCAGTGAGCTATGGTTTCGTGCCCACTGGGTTTACCTGCGCACGCTGGCGTGCCGCATGGATGAGGAGGACCCCATCCGTACGATTAACCGCCTCATTGTGCCTCGCTTTGACGTGTTTGTTATCCACCTGGTGCGGTCCGGCTCGCGCGGTCTCAACATTGTGCTGTGGGATCCCACACGCAAGCGACGGTACGCTGCGCGGGGCATGCTTTCCGACATTTTGGCGTGCATACTGGAGCAGCAATCAAAACACATTATTTTTCTCCCAACAAATCGCACAGATCGCCCTACACTGCTTCGCTGCCGTGCCGCCATGACAAAAACCGGTCGTCAGTGCCAGGTGGTCTTTGCCTCTGAGCTGGGTGACAAGTACCGCAGTGTCTACCAGTCGGAGCCGTCCCGTTTTTGGGCCTCACTTCGTGAGGTATCCGGAGGCCTTGACATAGACTTCCTCTTTGAGATTTACGTCACGGCTGGGAATAGTCTTCGCAGCTACCACAGCAAGCGGTTGCGAGAGGGCGAGGCACAACCGATGGTTTCACACCGTGCTGAAGAGGCCACAGCTTTTCTGGCTAACACTGAGGTTGAAAATTGGCTGAGTGTCTTGTCGCTGGGCCGTCGTGTGGCGAAGGAGAAGGCGGAGATGCGGAAGTACAAGAAACATCTCTTTATTGCCTACGTGGCGACGGAGTTTGCCGCCTACACGCGTCCGGCGAACCCGCACACCCCAGTGAACTTTGTCGTGGCTGCCGCCTTGATGGATGCACATCAACACATTGTGGAGCCCTGGACGAAGTACGCCGCACGAGGCGATTTCAGACTTCCCTCGTTAAACGAGTTTGATGTGATTGTCTCCCACGACGCCAAGCAGCTACTGCTATTGGTCTGGGATGACCCGGAGCTGCACCGATTTCTGAAGCGCGGGGGAAGGGTCTGGTGCACGATGTTGGCAGAGTACATTTTGGAGGCCCAGCGGTGCCAGACAGGCAACAATAACTTTCGCGACGTTGCCTTGAAGTACGGCGTCATGACACCACCTTCCGCCGTGCTCGGGGCCGCCGCGGTGGATTTGCCATTTGCGTTTCTGCGGCATTACCTGATGGCCGCCGTGGACGCGTTGTCCGTTGTGTTTCGGGAGCAGCTCTCAACATCGTGTGAACGGAGTCAGGTGATATGCCTCGCCCATCGTATGGATTCCCTTCTTGCCATGGCGGCCATTGAAAGTGCCGGTATTCAAATTGACGTGGAGGAGGCGGCACGTCAGGCGCAGGCGATCCGAAATCGCCTTTTGGCCATTGACAAGGCTCTTAGTTTGTACGTCCCAAATGAGGTGCCTGTGGACCTGCTAAAGATGTTTGATTGGAATTCCCTGCAGCACCTTGGCGCGTTTTTGTTTGGTGGGAGCATCACACTTGGGTACACGGACACCGTGCTGGAGTCCGCCGCATGGACCTCGAACCTTATACACTTCTGCCACAGGTACGGCACCCTCTCGCTTCTCTCGGCGGATGTCCACCTGCAGCGGTTTGCAAGCGAGAAGGGGCTGCGGGCTGCGGGGCGTCTCCCACAGCGTGTGGCGCAGTACCTGGCGAGGGACGAGAGTGCGGGGCTGCGGACGTTCCGACTCGTGGTGTTTGACATTGAGTCCACCGGCCTGAATACTGCAACGGATGCGATCATTGAGATTGCCGCATGGGACCCAGTCGAGGGGACGTCCTTCAGCTCGCTTGTGAATCCGGAGCGGTCAATTCCGCAGGAGACTATGGCAATTCATCACATCACGAACGGTATGGTGTGCGGGGCTCCGCGGCTGCCGGAGGTGACACGTGCCTTTGCGCGGTACTTGCGGCTTGGCGACGCCCAGTGTGATCCCAATGAGGTCACCGTCCTTGTGGGGCACAATGTGTTTGCCCTTGACGAACCGCTGCTCCGTCGCGCCTTTGAGCGCGAGGGGGTGGAGATGGACAGTATTCTTTTCTGCGATTCACTTGCCCTGCTGAAGGCCCTCAAGCGCGAGCTGCAGGGGTCTACGGAGGGGCTTCGCGTGGACCGAGGTGTACTTGAGATCTTGACAACTTCCCTCCGGCTCTCCTCCCTGGTGGAGGGGCTGCACGTTGGGGCCGAGGGTGCACTGCATCGCGCTGATACGGATGCAAAGATGCTGTGGTTTGTGCTTGTCAACGCCTTGGGTTTGGCTGGGCGAGATACTGTGAAGCAGCGCGACGCGATTTTCAGCCATGCGGTGCGAACGTTGGCTGTGTACCCTGGTACCGGCTGCTTTCTCCCGCTGGAGCAGCGTAGACGGGACCGTGTTGTGGTGCGTCTGCCCGGTGTGGCGTCACAGGTCATCGATAGCCCGCGCCAGCTGGCGTCCTTGCAGAAGAAGCCGCTCAACGAGGACACGTTGCAGGCACTGCAGCGTCATCAGCTGCGGGTGGCGGGGCTGTTGCTTGAGAAGCAGCACCTGGAGCGGAACGCGGCGCGGTTTCTTCACGCCGACCCCGGCGGGCGGTTGTCGGTGCTGCACGCAGACGGCAGGGTAAGACAGTGCATTGACCTCACAGCCACCACAACCTCCCGCACGACGAGCTCGTACCCCAGCTGCCAGAACATACCGAAGGACGACAAGTCTTCGCTGCGGCGTCTTTTTATCTCCCGCTTTGGCGAGAAGGGGCGCTGCGTGGAGCTGGACTACTCACAGCTGGAGATTGTTGTATTAGCGCTTCTCTGTGGCGACAACCGTCTGGTGTCCGACCTGAATCGCGGCGTCGACTTTCACATCAAGCGGGCGTCTTTCTTTAGCGGTGTCGCCTATGGTGAGATTTACGAGGGCTACAAGCGTGGTGTCGCAGAGTACGTGCAGCTGCGCAAGACTGCCAAGACGTTTTCGTTCCAGCGCCTCTACGGGGCGGGAGTTCCGCTGCTGCACAAGACAACCGGCATCCCCGTGAAAGATCTCGAGGCCTCCATCCGCAAGGAGGAGGAGGAGTACCCTGGCATCACGCAGTTTCACCGCCTTGTCCGCACCATTGCGTTGCGGGCGGGCAATCCAGGCCTTCCAACGCACTTTGTCGTGGAGCTTCCAACTGGGATTCGCATGAGTTTCAAGACGCGGGATGTGGTGCTGAACCTGCCGCCCGTGAAGAACTATCCCATTCAAGGCTTCGGCGCGGAGCTGGCTCAGATGATGGTGGGACGCGTGTTTCGTCAGTTTGTGCGGAGGGACTTTTATGGGCAGAAAGCATTCATGATCAATTTTGTGCACGACTCACTGTGGCTGGACTGCCACATAGACGTTCTGGAGGAGTGCGTCCGGGAGACGCGAGAGCAGCTGATGGAGGTACACACCTACGTCGCCAAGGCGTTTCCGGGGGTGGAGCTTCGGGTGCCGCTGCACATCACAACGCAGTGTGGCGTGGACATGTGTTCGATGGAGACCATCACGGACGACTTTAGCTGCGTCGCGCTGCAGAGTAGGAGGAGTGCGCGGGAGGGGGCAGAGGAGCCGCTCCCGAGCCTCGACGCGGACCCAGCTGACATTATAGAGAACACCGTGTAGACGACGGCGACAGACAGTGGTTGCCTCTTTTCTCTTTTTTTTTTTCTGTCGCTGCTCCGTCTCTTCTCTCTGTCGGCCCGTCTGCTTGACTCTTTTGGTGGCTGGTGGTGAGCGGGCGATGAAGTCGGCGCGCATGCGTGCGTGCGTGCTTCGCCGCCGGTTTACGCACCCCACACGTATCCCCATCTCTCTTCCTTCTCCTCCTTCTCCTCCTTCTCCTTCTCCTCCTTCTCCTTCTCCTTCTTCTCCTTCTCCTTCTTCATCTTTGTCTACACCCCTTCGCGAGGACGGTCGCGGTTCAAGCAAAGCATACAAACACGCAAAACCAAAGAACTACACCAAAAGCAAACGAAGCCCGTTTGGGAAAAATAACACACTCAGAAATACAACCCAAGAGCGAAACACTTCTCACATGGCTTGCGCGCCGTCTGTGAAGCTCTCAAACGGGGTCCCCATGCCTCAGCTTGGCCTTGGCGTGTGGAAATCCGCGGAGGGCGAGGAGACAGTCCATGCCGTGAAGTGCGCTATCAAGGCCGGATACCGTCACGTGGACACTGCCGCCATTTACAAGAACGAGAAGAGCGTTGGCAAGGGCATTGCTGCGTGCGGTGTCCCGCGCGAGGAAATCTTTGTTACAACGAAGTTATGGAACGCCGACCAGG